ACACCTCGCACATCCGTCGGGCATTAATTCCCACACAGAATTTCAAGCTTCCTGAGGGCGCGGCCATGCTTGTTTTGTTCTTTGTCGAACCTTCAGTGCCCTGCACAGCGTATGTGCTCAACAAGTGTGTGTGGGAGGAGCCTGAGAGGAAGCTGAGGCCTCCGGTACTGGGGTGACTGCTGAATTGTATTCTCATCTGCCTTCCTCGAGGCCCTCTCACCCTCCCATGTTCTTATTTGTAAATTAATGGATTTTAGGGTGAATATCCTAAAACTCTGAGTTAGTCTAGGATCCAAATAATTCAGTACCTTTATTCCTTCCTCAGTGGCACTGGGAGATTGTCTTTGGACAACATCTTGGAGGACCTGCCATTTAATCCATGGCATTCCTTTGAGTCACAACCCCACCCCCATCTCTGTTTCCTTACTTAAGATTTTATACATACTTATTACTTTCTTACTTGCATGTATCATCCTATGTGGCATGTTCACATTTTTTCCATTGTGGTTCAGATAGGACATCCTTGCCTAGAGGCTAGAAATGAATGAGGTTGACATATTTAAATTTTATGTAAATGACATTTTATTGTGGGAGGATTCTGCAATTCATCCTGCTCCTCAGCACAGTTTGTGAGTTGAATCCATACTAACACATGCGGCTATGACTCATTTCCACGGTGGCTTAGTATTTCATTGGATACATATGACTCACTTTATTTGTCCTCATAGTGATAGATAATGGTCCCATTTTCGATTTTGGGCCATTTTAAACGCCGCTGCAAGGACCCTTTGTATACACCTCCTTGGGCACCTATCTCCTTGCTTGAGGCCCACTGGCCGGGCAGGTAGTCATTGTTGAGAATGGATCCCAGAGATGTGTTTAGGGCAGGGTCCTTCCCCTGGGTCACTGGGACATGTGGTCTTACCCCCCCTCTCACCCAACTCTTTTTAAAATTTGAAAGCGATACAAGACAACAACTTGCCCATCCTGAACTAAGACTAAAAAGGACCCAGCTTGGTAAAACAAACATCCGTATGCTTAGCATCAGAGTATACAATGGTAACATTTTAACATATATATTTGCTTCAGATGTTTTCTTTTTAAGAAATAAAAGATACACTCCTTCCAGCCAACATCAAGCCGTGAAACCAGGGGCAAGTGACAGCCGTACCACAAGGAGCGGAACTATGAGCCCGGACGCCTGCTGCCAACACTAAGACGGGCTCGCACCGCATACACGTCTGTGTGTGGGGAGGCAAGTGCCCAGCCTTGAGGCTGGACCTGGACAACTTCTCTGGGCTCGGAGTGCTGTACGTGCAAAACAAAGATTATTGACACCTACAGTGCATCCAACAACAAACTGGTCCATGCAGAAACCCTAGCAAAGAACTGCCTCATGGTCACGGACAGCACACGGTACCGACAGCGCTGGAGTCCACTAGGCACTGCGCCTGGGCTGCAAGAAGGGGGCCAAGCTGACTGCTAAGGAGGAAACAAAAAATAATCCAAGAGCCTGGCTGGCATGGTTCAGAAGTGGAGTGCCGGCCTATGAACCAGGAGGTCACGGTTCTTTTCCAGTCAAAGCTACATGCCCAGGTTGGGAGCTTGATCCCCAGTGTGGGGCCTGCAGGAGGCAGCTGATCGATGAACCTCTCTCATCATTGATGTTTCTATATCTCTCTCCCTCTTCCTTCCTCTCTGAAATCAATAAAAACAAACAAACAAACAATAAAAGAAAATTCAGAAGAGATATGATGAAAGGAAACAACGCCACCATCAGCAGTGTCCCGGAGGAGCAGTTCCAGCGATGCTTGTGCGCATCACCCCAGCACCAGGCCGGTGTGGCCAAACAGATGGACAGCTGTGTGCCGGAGGGCAAGGAGCTGGAGCCCTAGCCGAGGGCATCAAGGCCTGAAAAGGCACATAAATCCTTTTCCCTCCTATCTTAGCTCATGTAATAAAGGTGTTTATTCTAGAAAAAAGAAATAAACATTCTAGTTACCCTAGAAATTCTCCCTGTTTTTTCACCAACTTCCCTGTGTGTGTGTCCAACATGATGAATATACAGTCGTATCTTATTCTTATTGTTGCTTCACTTCCCATTTCCCTAGTTCCTTTTTGTCTCCACCCCATTGACTTCCTTTGTGGTTTGTGGGTTCCGGTTATCAGATGAGCCGAAGTGGGTTGGGGTGGGTGGAGGGTCACTCTCAAGCTGCCCGGGGTGCAGCCTGTCTCCTGTGCGGGCCTGGAGCTCTCCACGCATTCCTGGCCTCCTTCCCCTCCTAAAGGGCACACGTGCCAGGCCAGATCCAGGGCCCTCAGGACTGAGGAGCAAAGTGTGGAGACGCAGGGTCACCCTCCCTGCCCAGCCTCACCTTGAGCTCTGAAGGCTCCTGTGAGGAGCAGGAGAGGGCTGCCTGGTGCCCATGTGGGCATGTTGGGGGTCTCCGGTTGGACAGTGCCAGTCAGGAGAGCCTTGGGGTTCAGGGTGCTCTGGCATTTGCAGCTGCCTCAACTCCGATGAGGATCGCGCGATGAGGAAGAGCCACACTCAAGAGGCCAAAGAGCCGCATGTGGCTCTCGAGCCGCAGTTTGCCGACCATGGCCTTAGGCTATCTGAGCACACCCTCCACATCTCATTGAGAGTTCAACTTTTGGAATTGTACCAGACACACTCCTCATTTCTCTTTAATCACCCCGGCATTGCCTGAGTATTTATGTATTGCATCTTTTCTAACTGTATGTACCCATCTTTGCATGCAGACTTCGAGGGGTGCATGTCTCCCCTACTACGTTTATTCCTTTCTTCCCATTTCTGCATCGATGTGCAGATACCCAGCCAGGTGACAGCATGTCACATGTCAGTTGCCAAATATTTATGGAGCACCCATGTGCCAGACATTGTGTGGGGTGCCACCTGCATGGGCCCCGTCCTTAAGACTCTAGGAGGAAAGAGAGACATTAAGCAACTAAACAGATCATTATAGGTGAGCAAAGAACCAAGAAGTAGAATGACAGATGCTTTGGGAATATGTGTAGGTGGGGTGGTGGGAGACCTTTCTCCCAGGAAATAATGTTAAACTGACACCTCGGGGGTAGGAGTTGGGAGCTAGGCAATGAGTTGATATCGCGTGTGCCGAACTCCCAAGTGGGGACAGCATGAGCATTTGGTCGTGTGCTGGAAAGGCTGCCCAGGCCTGCCATGTTCCTAAGGCCTTTGGGACCATCTCCTGACCAGCTCCTGAGCTCTCAGAATATCCTGCCTCACAGGAGGGTCTTTGTACTGAGAGCGTGGGCCAGGCCAGTCGTCTGTGCTAACAGCGTGATGTGGTGAATGCCTACTTGGAGAGCACAGGTAGCTGGGGCCCTGCTCTCTCTGTCTGACCTCCATGGAGACTGACTAGCTAAGGTCAGCCGTGCAGGTGCTGCATCCTATGTGGCCCCAGCAGAAGCCCTGGACACCAAGGCCTGGGGGAGCTTCGCTGGTTGGCCATGTTTTTTAAGCGCGGTCACACCCTGCTGCCGGGAGAACGAAGCGCTGTCCAGTCAGCTCCCCTGGACGCTCTGCCCGCTCCTCCCGGACTCTCTCTGCCCCGTGAGCCTTTCTCCTTTGCTGATATTAACATGTATCCTTTCACTGCAATAAACCATCAGTGAGAGTAGAACAGCTTTTCTGTGGGTTTTTCTAGCAAATCATCAAACCCGAGGGTGGTCTTGGAGACCTCAACACAGGTAGAGCGGAGAGAACAAAGGCAATGGGGGAGGGGAGAGCATGAGGCGAGGGAGGAGCTGGAGGAAGGGAGAGGGCTCCTCAGGGCCTTATCAGCCATGGTCAAGAATGGCTTAGTTCTGCCTGTGGGCTTGGTCCCAGTGTGGTTACTTTATTAATTCTATTTCATGGCCCTAGGCTGCACCCAGCCCCAACTAGATCTCACAAAGGGCACCTATAGAAAACATGCAGATCAGCACATTTTCTTGGGGTGGGTTCGGAGGAGCCCAAGGACACGTAAAACCCACGCAGGTGAGCAGGGCCACCTGGGGTGATGTCTACGCTAAGTACTTCCATATGGCCCACCTTGGGTATGGAACAGAGTTGCTACTCCATATATGCTGGTGAAGAAACAGTGCTGTGTTTATTATAAAAGCCGGGAGAAAACAACCCCAGAACTGTTTGCCATAGACATAGTGAAAACTCAGAGGTGTCCTCACCAATTTCTTTCATTATCAAATATCCATGGCAACAGAATGAGTGAAGGAAAAAGCAGGGCGAGAGAGCGGTTGAAGCAATTTATTGCCAGAAAGGACGGAGTTATCAACGTTGAAAATAAGTCATCAACTGCAGGCATGGACGTGCACCAAAGCGTCTCTCAGATTTCCGCTTGCTTGGACAAACACGCGGCCTTCTCAGGAGTATGCCTTGGATCCGTAATAGCCAGAGAAAATTTTAAAGTAATGGAAGGAGTGCTTATGTAACTCATTTTAAAATCAACAGGGGACTATGTTTTAGATGGTGCAGGAGGCTGGAGGCAGAGGCCTGTTTGGGTTGATGGCCACCGCAGCCCAACACTGCGAGTCAGAGCGTCCCTGCCAGAGGGGTGGGAGGGGGGGCGGCGGGGAGGGGGAGAGGGGAAGCCAGGCAATCACAGGGCTCTCCTGACAGCTTGCAAGCCCAGAGCTGTGATTCCAGGGAACACAAGATGCTGTTATATATTTTCCAATTACAACGAAGTCTTTTCTCTCTGCTCCTAAGAGGGAAGGCAGTTTATAGTCAGACAAACTCAAGTTTGAATCCTGTTCTAGCGATGTGACTCTGGGCGTGTTTCTTAAACTCTCTGGGCCCCGGCTCGCTCATCTGGTCATTATAAGATCTTATTCTTAGGCTTCTTTTGAAGACTTAAAAGAGATGATGTCTATAAAGTACTGGGGCTAGTGCCTGCCATGCATTAAGGGCTCAAATAACAACAACAAAACCAGAAGGATTTAGAGTTTTTAATAAATCATGAGACATAAAATGATATTTTGAGGGCTCGAGGCCAGCACACGTGCTTAAACCTGTCCCGCCAGGTAAGGATAGCCACATGCTCTGAGTTAGACAATAGCGGCCGTAACAGAAGTGGCCTGAGAGTCAGCTTGAGGAAGCTAAGCTTTGAGCATGAAGGTGGACTTCCCTGTGTAACTGGGACCAGGGGCAGGTATTGGCAGGCAGGTGTCTGATTGAAGGAGCAGAGTGTGGAGCTACCGCTTGGGTTTGCTGCCAGCTCCTTTGCACAAGTGCAAGGCACTGGGCAAGTCCGCCATCTCTCTAAGCCTCAGTGCCCTCATCTATAAAAAAGAAAAAAGTGCCTGATTTTCAAAATGGTTGAGAGGATAAAATGATATAACCCAATGTATGCAAACACCTGCTCTACGGTAGGTGCTTCATAAATATGACAATTATAATCATACTAGAGGCCTGGTGCACAAAATTCGTGCACTCAGGGGAGGGGAGGTTCCCTCAGCCCAGTCTGCGCCCTCTTGCAGTCCGGGAGCCCTCAGGGGATGTCCAACTGATGGCTTAGGCCCGCTCCTGGGCCTACGCCATCAGTCGGACATCCTTAGCGCTGCTGTGGAGGCGTGAGAGGCTCCCGCCACCACTGCTGTACTTGCCAGCTGTAAGCCCGGCTTCTGTCCCAATGCCCTCCAGGGGGCAGCTCCTGTGTTGAGCGTCTGCCCCTTGGTGGTCAGTGCGCTTCAGAGTGACTGGGCATCCTACTGTTCGGTCAATTTGCATATTAGCCTTTTATTAATAGGATCAGTAAGCAAAGTGCAGTCACAACAAAGTGTGAAGTGCATTAGTGGTAACTGACATTGGTTTGTCACAAAACAATCCCATGAGACTAAACTGGCTTCCTTCTTATAAAGAGTGGCAAGATACAGACAGGTTTTTTTTTGTTTGTCTTTTTAAATATATTTCTATTGATTTCAGAGAGGAATGGAGAGGGAGAGAGAGAAACATCAATGATGAGAATCATTGATCGGCTGCCTCTTCACGTCCCCTGCTGGGGATCGAGCCACAACCTGGGCATATGCCCTTGACCAGAATTGAACCTGGGACCCTTCAGTTCACAGGCAGAGATGCTTTATCCACTAGGCCAAACAGGCGAGGGCAGGGATGTTATTCACACACAAAAGACTCCCTTCAGTAGGGAACTTGGACCACAGAGAATAAGCATGAATAAAACTTTAAAAACATGGGGGTGGGAGTCAGTGTTACTGCACCAGCAGCTCATTGCGAATACAGCACTTGCTACATATAGGTAGTAGTGTCCATCACCATCTTGGGGACCCAGCCTGAAAAGGGGGGATGGACTGGGGATGAGTGCCAGACACTCCTCAAAAGGGTAATGGTGTTTGAGGGTGTTTAATTTGGCCCCTTCTCCCCTGTCAAATGTGTGTATCCACAGGAGAAATTCCTGAGTGTGTTCCCACCTCTGCTCCCACAGCAAACAAAAGCCTATGGCTGCATGTAGTCTTGCTGATCTGATGCAGTGGGTTCTCAAATGGGGCTGATTTTGTCCTGCCAGGGACATTTGGCCATGTCTAGAGACATATTTGCTGCCACTTTTTTGGAGGTGGCATTCCACCGGCATCTGGTGGGTAGAGGCCAGGGATGTTGGAACCCCCTATAGTGCACAGGAGACCCCCCACAACAAAGTGTCCGGCCGCAAACACCAGCAGCGCTGACCTGGCGAAGTCCTGGTCTGATGTAATGTGAAGGCTCCTTGTCTATGGAGGGGCTTGTTCCTCACACCTGTCCTCTCAGAGGGGTAGAATGGGGGAGGGTCATGGCTGGTCTGTAATCCCTCACTGGTGGCCTATACGGAAGAAGGGGTGAGCGAAAGGCAGAAAATCTGGGAGTGGGAATGAGCCCAAAGGGAATCTCAGACTAACCTCCCAAAGTAGATGGAAGGATAAGGACAGTTTCTCACTTCAAGCCAACTCTTATTTAAAACCTATTTCCTTAAGCACATAATTATGCTTCTTTCCCTGAGGAACGCTCGAGGCAGAGGAGACCTGCTTACTTTATGGGGATGGAGGCTGCATAGAGGGTTTTACGGGTTAGAAATTCTTCTGTCCCCTTTGAAGGAGCCTCAGGAGGAAGGACAGGGCAGAAGACATGGGGAGGGTGGAGCCAGGTTGGGACAGAGGACAGAGTGTGAGGACCTGTTGTGCCACCTCAGTGGGTCAGGATCAGAGCAGAGACATGAACGTAGGGTGAAGCTTCAAGCCTCCCACCTGTCTTCACATCCTGGTAAATGGAGGGAAGGAATACAGGAAGTGGGCCGATCACACCCCTCCTGCCTTCATGTGATCTCTCTCTCTTTCTCTCTCTCTCTCTCTCTCTCACACACACACACACACAGCCCTTTGGAAAATACTCTAGGTTGCATTAAGAAACAGAATGAGCCACGCTATTGGGGCAGGGCAGGTAAGGATGGAGGAAATTTTGATGAGAAGCATGTGAGCTGGGCACCCTGAGGCTGGTGAGAGGCCCACAGCCCTTGGGAGCTGAGCACAACATCCAGGCCTTCTCTGTCCTGAGAGGGTCAAGGGAACGACACACATGGGGGACGTGGGCCTAGACAGCGGGGCTGCGTCCACGTGGGCCCCCCCCCCCCCAGCCTGTGAGCATCGGGGACCCTGGGCTTTGGGGGATTTGTGCCCTTCTCACTGACCAGCTCTCCAGAAGACCTATCAGATAATAGATACATAGAGTTTCAGCATCTTTAAGAGGCTGAAGATGTGTGTTGCAGTCCTGGCCCATCCTCCCACTTTCTAGAAGTGTAACCTTGAAACTCTCTGAGCTTTAGCCACCTCCTCCACAGTGCCTTTCCGACATCCTAGGGCTACGGTGAGGCTCAAGTTAAGTTGACATGTAGAAGTGCTTCATAAACTGTAAAGCATTGGGCAACAGGAGCTGGTTCTTATAAGTTATTTATTCAAGGAAGCAGAAGAGGGACCCCCACATCAATGCAGCTCCAGACATCCCTCCAATCAGAACCTGCCAGCAGGAAGGGCGACGTCCGTCTCGCGAGCCGGCTGGGAGCTGGAGGCTTCAGTCCACTTCCACAGCTCTGGCCCCTCTGACGCCCTGGTCAGGCAGCGGGCCTGGAAGAAGGGCGCTGGGGCCCCTATTTAGTTCGCTGGTAGAACTGGAAGACCGCTTTCTCCTGCTCATGTGTCTCGATTGAGCCCGGTCGAAGCCGCCGGATTTCAGCGATGGCGTCTCCAGCAGCCAGGCCCTGCTCCTTCACCAGGTAACAGGCCAGCATGGTGCCCGTGCGGCCAAAGCCCAGGGCACAGTGCACTCCCACAGCCTGTGAAGGGGGAGCTTGGTGGGGCGGAGCCTCCCGCCCTCCCCACACTCTCCTGGCCCTCACTTAGGCCTGTCTCTCTCGCCTTCCAGCTGCTGCTTCTGGGCCAGGCCCAGGATCCTGTCCTCAGGATCCTGCACACCTCACAGGGGCGGGAAGTGGCATTGAAGTCCGGAGGGCGGTGGCCCGGTAGGTACCTGTGGCCAGGAGGCCACCAATCACCGGCAGAGTGGCTGGTTGAAGGGCTGGGCTCCTGGTCTGCCTCCCCACCACCATCTCCCTGCCTCTCCAGTGTAGAAGGCACTGGCCACCTGTGGCTACCGAGGACCTGCCGGGCTGCTGGTCCAGATGGAGATGGGATGTAAAATGCAACCAGGTTGTGAAGATGCAGTGCAAACAACAACGTAAACACCTCACTATGGATGTACTTTATACTGATTATATGTTGCAACAGTATTTCTGACTTACCGGGCTAAATTATATTATCAAAATGAATTTCCCCTGTTCCTTTTTCACCTCTTACAATGTGGCTGCTAGAAACTTGAAGAGTATACATGGCTCCATTGTATTTGGACCGAGCCCTGCTGTGGAGACTGTTCAATAGCCTCTAGCTTCGGCCTCCACCTGTCCCATGTCTGTCCAACCCTTTCTCCTCCCCAGCCCTCAACTGCAACCAGTTTTTCCTCTCCACCAGCGGGTTCCGGGGCTGGGCCCTCCTCCTCCCGCTCACCGCCCCGCCCTCCCCTGGGTTTCCCGTTCCAGTTTCACACGGAGCCTCCAGGCCCCGGGTCTTCCCCCGTCTCCCTCCCCGCCCTGGGTCCCCGACCCTGCTCCCCCTGCTCCCCCAGCTGCGAGTGTCCCCGCTGACCCCTCCCAGGGCCTTTCCCCCGGTTTGACCGCCCGCTGACCTCTCCCTGGTCGTTCGCCTTGTCCACGATCTGCACGAAGCGGTCGATCTGCTCCGGGGCGGGCGGACAGAAGTCCGGGATGCGCAGCCGGTGCAGCGTGAGGCCGGGGCAGCTGTCCCCGTGCGGGGGCCCGCGCTCGGTCAGGGACACCAGGTGCCGCACGCCCTGGTCCAGCAGGAACTGGTAGTGGGCGGGGAGCCGGGGCAGCGCCAGCCCCGCCAGCCGGCCCGGAATCACCCACGAGAAGTTGGGGGGCTGCACGCCCACGACTGAGGGAGGGCCCAGGACCGCGGGTTAGCGGGAGGGGCGGCCTGGACCTCCGCCCACTGCTCCGTTCGCCCGCCCAGGCCGGGGAACCCCCACCTACCGGGCGCCGGCGCCTCCGAGGACCCCGCAGTCCCGGGGGCACGCCCCGACGACATCCCGCTCTGCAGTCGGGACTGGCCCGGTCGCACGGGGGCGGTGCCTAGGTTTGAATGACCTGGAGGAGCACCTATCCGGCCCCGGCCCCAGCGGGACCCGACCCAGACCCCTTGTTGATTGGTGGGATAGTCAATAACGGGCGGGATTACGGCAGGAGACTGGAGCCACGTGAACAGCCAAGAATAAAACCCTGGAAGAAATTAAGAATTATTTTCTGGGGATGAAGCCACCCGGGGTCGGACTCTGCTGCCCCCTGGCGGTGGGTGGGATTTATTGCATCACCGGCCAACCGACCCCGCACGCTTGGCCTGCTTACTCTTAGGCCCAAGGGGTTGAGAGATGGCAAATCTACTTCCGCTCTGGAGGACGAATTTCCTCTGCAATGACTGTGACTGTCACCCTCAGTGAATTTCTGAACACGTCCAATAAGAAGGAATCATTACTGTACGGAGACTATTTTCCACTGCTGGAATTATGAAAAATACAGGGTTGCCATTGGGTGCCCTGAAATGTAAAAATGAACAAATCGAGCATTCTAACTATTTTCATGTGATAACTCATTTAATTGCCATAATAATCTAATTACGAGGTAATCTAGTAATCTAATGAACAATGTTATAGATCAGGGATGGGCAACCTTTTTGTGACTGCGTGCCAAAACCAGCAAAATCTCTGACTCAAACTTCTGCGTGCCAACCCTAATTTTTTTGAGAACATGTTACGCCTACTTGATATCTCTTAAGGTGTACGTATGTGAAGAACCTTGAAGAAATGATAAAATTCATTCAAGCGACAAAAACACAGTATATGATGATGAAAAATACATTTATTTTTTAATGTATACATGTACACTGATAGTCCGACAGAAAACTTTATGACTCCGTTTGATATTATCAGTGGGACTTTGGCTGCTGCATCACTGATGACAGAGATTTTACATCAGGTTTATATTTCGTGACCTTCAGAGATATGCAGGAGCTACTACTTTCATCTGTCAGCTACTCCTATTAGGAGACTTAACAAAATTCATCACTGAGAACAAAGATTCACAAGCATATGTGGATGAAACCAAAACACTGGTCGGATCTAGGAAGGCAGGGAGAGTTAAGGCAGAGGCATAGAAATTGCTCTTCCCCTCTCTTGTCAATCCATGTCTATGGTCTTTAAGATAACTTGTTATGTAAAATTATTTATTTATCTAAGATGCACCTACACTGAATTTATCTGAAAAATAATAAAGTCGATATTAAGAAAAAAACTATAAATGGGAGATTATAAGAGAGGGTTTTGCGTGCCAGCAAAAGTTACTGGTGTGCCATGTTTGGCACGCGTGCCAGGGGTTGCCCACCCCTGTTATAGTCATTGAGTCTTCATAGAGGTTCTGGAATTTGACTGAGGATGACTGATGGCCTGGGGATTTGAAACCAAGTGCCCTGGCTCCACAGTCTTTAACAACACAGTATTGTTTCCTCAAGTGAAATGGGAGGCCTGCCTCTTCATGCAACCATCCTCATGTCCCCAAATGTCATCTGGATGAAACGTTTCAGAATTTCTTAATTTCTCTTCTTAAATAATTTCATGACTTTCAGGCTCTATGAGCCGCCCTCCCCTGGGGGAGGCTTGAGTTTATCATGTGTTCATAGAAGGTGGACCTATGAACACAGCGTCTCAGTCCATATCCTCATTTGAACAATGTGCTTCTAGTGATGTGGATTAACTATACTTAGGAAAACACCGTATTGAATTTGCTTATGTACCAGGCCCTATGCCAAGTGCTTTCAGGAAGAACCACAAGTGGGAAATATTTTTGTATCCCTTTTGTATTTGAGTAATCTGAGGCTTAGAGAAGCTGGTTAACTTGGCCAATGACACTCAACTAGTAAGTAGCTGGGCTGGTTGAACCAAGGTCTCTTTCATTCCAAACTGGGGCCCAGCCATGAAGATCTACTTCCCTCCCTCTGGCCCCACCTACTCCTGTCTCACACATTTGACCATGTAAAGCTCTGGTTCTAGCAAAATGAGAAGGAATTTCTCTTTCCTCCAAGTTCAAAGCTTACTCTGACCCTATGGAAATGCACTTCCATTTACCCAGACAACACTGAAGCATTGCCTCCACCCGTTCTCCCCAGGTTCTAGGAGCTACCAAATCTACCTTTTCCTCCCCTTCTGTGCATTCACAGCCCTGATTAAGCCCCTCTCCTTTGCACTCTCACTTCCCACACAACTCCCTAAAGATCTTCCTGCCTATCCCAATCCATTCCTTTCCCTCCTTCTCTGTGGTCACTCTCAGCCACCAGCCCCTCCCACATGCCCAGGGTTTCTGCTTACACTGCCTCTGCAGACAAGAATCCACAGGACCCTATGCCCCTTCCTTGCCTCCTTGGGAACCAGCTCAAAGCCCACCTTCTCCAGAGTGAAGACATTTATGGGAGAAACATCTTCTCTTCTCTTCTGAGTCCCCAACAGTGACTG